CCGAGAAACATGCAAAACGGGACGGAAAACATGAAATTTTGCAATAATCTTACACCACCCTTGCACGAAACGACGATAATTTATCTAATTTCATAGACAACAGAAGACTATATTTTTTCTACATAACCCCCCCTGAATTTAAAGCTGAATCCGCCCCTGTTTCTCCTCAACTTTAAAGTTTTAATTTGACAACATTTTTATTAATTTGTTTTGGTTTTTTTCCGCCCGTCCCTTACCTCCATCCTCTCCTTATCACTTATTTTGCATGCATTTGGTCAACAATTGCACGTCTATTTGCATGCCGTCGTCGTTAGAGATTCGCTCGACAACCCCCACGAAAGAGAAAAGAAAGCGGCCGAAGAAAGTGCAAGCGAAGTCCATGAACCCCTATAAACAACACTCGAAATTTCTGTTCACTTCGCTTATATCTGAAGACCGGGAGCTGGGCGACATGGATTTCGGGCATTTGGTGAAACCGAGCGTGCAAAGTGGCGCAATGAATATCGACCCTCAAAGCGCCTTTAATAGTCTCAAGAGCGAAAACGAGCAAAGTAACTTGGGGGATGTCCAATCTGCTTTCTCCTCCCTAAAACCCCTTTTAGCAGGTAATTCGGGGAAGAAGATAAGCGAAGGCTTGCCCGGACCCCCTCTTGACCTGAAAGCGGTTATCATCAAGGCCAGATTTGTGATTTTGAGCTGGAAGCCTCCGCAGGAAAACAGTCAACTTGTGGAGGCTTATTCGACGTATTTCAGGCAGGAGGGCAGCAGCAGGTGAGCTTTAGGAGCCCCCTATGGAAAACGTTTGTTGCATTTTTCCCTTGGGCCTTTAGGGAACGTTGCCAAAACACCAGCCGATCGAAACTGGAGGAAATCCACATCGGAGATCTCTGGCCTGGCAAAGTTTATCATTTCCGAGTGGTTCCGCTCAGTGCAAACGGCGCAGGAGTGTCTTCGGATATTTTAACAGTCACGACCCAGTCAGAGGAGCACGTTCCCAGTGCGCCCCAAAATTTCATCGCCTACGCCACAAGTCCAAGGAAAATCCACATTAACTGGAAACCCCCAGAAATAGCCAATGGAAAGATATCGAAATACACCATTTACTATATGGAGGTAGTGGGAGTTCTTTGGTCTCAATTTCAGCGGTTAATGAAAGAAACATTCTTCTAGACTACGTCTTCAGTGGAGCACAGTGTGGACACAACAGAGGCGTTTTTCGAATTGAACAGCCTCAGCCCCAATATTGAGTACAGCATTTGGGTGGTGGCAGTGAACGAAAAAGGCGCGGGCGCCGCCACTGAAGAGAAACTCGTCCGGACCTTCAGTGCACTTCCTTCAGATGCCCCGAGCAATATCACCTTTGAACCGTCCAGCACCGTAAGTTTCAGCTCCAACTTGCACTGCAAATGACGTTATTTTTAATGAATTTTCAGAGTATCGTAGTTAGGTGGGAGCCGCCTCCTGTGGAGGCGCAAAACGGCGCCATCCTGGGCTACAAGATCAAATATAGGAAAGCCGGGAAAGGCAGAAGCACCATTTATACGACTCCAGCCAGTGAGCGCCACTATGTGATTAAGGACCTGGAAAGAGGTTCCGCCTACCAGATCAGACTGTGGGCGATGAACATCAACGGCACCGGGCCGGCCTCTGAATGGGCAGAAGTCGATACGTTCGAGAACGATCTGGATGAAAGTGCGGTGCCTGGCGAACCATCCGGGTTGAAATGTGAGCTTCAAACCAACTGCCAGGATTTTCTTAAATAAGGTGTTCAATTTCAGATCGCGCCACTTACGACAAGTTGTATGTGATGTGGTCGCCTCCGGAGAACCAAAACGTTAGAGTGCGGCACTATATAATTGGCTGGGGTAAAGGAATCCCAGATATTTATGCGACTGAAGTGGATGAGAGGAACCGCACTTTCATCATAGAGGGACTAGGTGGGAGGGGGATTTTTGTCGTTGCAATTTCCACACTCAGCAGTTTCAGACCCAAACTCGGAATACGTGCTGAGCATTCGAGCTAGCAACAATGTGGGTCCAGGCCCTTCAATCTACGCAACTGCAAAAACTCAGGACGAGCCCCCGCCTGAGCCTGCCGCGGCTCTGATGCCGCCCATCGGCCTAAAGGCGCAAGTTCTGAGCACAACCTCTGTGGTTCTCTACTGGACTGATCCTACTTTGAAGCAGAGTCAAGTAAGTGAGGAAACCTTGGCCTCTGAGCTATTTAACGTGGTGTTTTTGCCTGATTCAGTACGTGCGAGACACGCGATACTATAAAGTTAAGTATACAGCGGATAATTCCGCGAAAACCAAGATTCTGAACGTGACGGGGTTGAATGTGATGATCGACGATCTGAAGCCGAACACTTTGTACGAGTTTGCAGTTAAATTAGTTAAAGGTATGGTTGCGCACGAAGAGTTTGCGTGTTGATTGCTGGGAGTGTTGTAAATTGCAGGTCGCAGGGAGAGCTCTTGGAGTATGGTAGTGCAAAATCGCACCTGGGAAATGCCCCCCGACGTCGCACCCAGAAACGTAGATGTGCACTTGAAAGATGAAGACTCACAGCTGGTTGAAATCACCTGGCTGCCGCCCAAGACCTCAAATAGTCGCACCACTGGTAGTTTAGAGCGCCCCGGCAATATTTCTTTAAAAACCGTGTATGTTTTTTCCAGGCTACGTAATCCTGTTCACGGAAAACAAGAATAAAACTGATGCCCTTTGGCAGGCGCTGGCCGTCAAGGGCGATAATCATTCGAGTATTATTTATGACTTGAAGCCCTTCACGGTCTACTACTTTAAAGTTCAGGCGCGCAACAGTCGGGGCTATGGGCCCTTTTCCAGCATCGTCTCGTTCCGGACAGGACAAAGTACGTTTTTCCTTTCATTTGCTCAGGTTTCCTTGCGTAACTTTTTTTCAATTAGTTTTGAGTTTCTTTTTCCGTTAGTTTGATTTTTGGTTTATTTCCGTTTCATTAGACGTTGCACGCCATGCGCCGATTCAAGGAATTACAGGTAGTTTTTTTTTATTTGAGTTAAAAATTAATTGTACATACTTTCCTGACTGTGTTTCAATTCCAAGTGAAATTCATTCCTGAGTTTCAGTCATTTATAGTCTCTATTTATCAATCAAAATACGTTTCGGTGTATTTTCCACCATCATCAGTTTTTATGTGTAGCGTTGTTGCTGCTTTAAGCCTTGGCATGCA